GTAATGCCACGTAGGAGGCCACTGATCAGTCGAGGAGGGGATCGAATCCCCACCCCTCACAAATCCCTGTTTTTTTTTCTTCGAAATCATAGGAAAAGGCCGGGGGATGGCGATCTTTGTGTAATTGCACGTAGGAGGCCACGGGCTGTACGTTTGGAGGGGTGCAGCGTTTGTCAAACGCTGTACCCTCGTCCACGGCCCGAGTACCCCAGAGGGGTCCTGCGTTCCTGAAACGCTGAAACGCTGGACCCCCAAACAAAACACGGCCGGTGGGCGGGGGTCCTGCGTTTGTCAAACGCTGTACGCCCGCCAATGCATCGGCCGGTAGGCGGGGGGTCCAGCGTTTGACAAACGCTGGACCCCAGCCAATGCATCGGCCGGTAGGCGGGGGGTCCAGCGTTTGACAAACGCTGGACCCCAGTCAATGCATCGGCCGGTAGGCGGGGTGTCCAACGTTTGACAAACGCTGAACCCCCGCCAATGCATCGGCCGGTAGGCGGAAGGTCCAGCGTTTGACAAACGCTGGACCCCCGCGCACGGGCCGTGCTTTTGCAGGGTCCAGATGAAGGACAAACGTTGGACCCCCACTAATGGCACGGCCCGTGGATGGGGGTCCAGCGTTTGTCGAACACTGCCCCCCCCCCGCGTACCGGTCGACGCATTGACGGCTTTCCAGCGTTTGACTAACGTTGGAACCCTGCCAATGGGTCGGCTAGCAAGCGGGGGGGGCCAGCGTTCGACAAATGCTGGACCCCCCGCCTGCCGGCCGAGGCATTGGCAGGGGTACAGCGTTTGTCAAACGCTGGACCCCTCCATTAGCATATGCCACCGCCGGGGTCCGCCGTTTGTTAAACGTTGTGCCCCCCCCCCGCCCACCGGCAGTGCTTTTGGAAGGGGGTCCGGCGTTTGACAAACGCTGGACCCTCGCCGCGTCCTTGTGCTTGGTTGGGGTCCAAACTCTTCGGGGCTCTACTTCTTGTGCTGCCGGCATGTGCCTTGCGATTGCTTTTGTTGATGCAATGTCCCATCTTGTGCTGCGGGAGATAGAGATAGAGTTAGGTGACATTAATGCATCCCTCGTCATTTTTCTTATGGATATCTCATCCAGGGAGAGGTCGTAAGGGTCCGAATGATGCGGATAAGAGGTACAACAACAGGTCGAAACTGTATCGCGACAAGCCGTGGGCTCTCGACTGGGTCGGAGTGGCCAGCGAGTCCGGGTGCGGTGCTGCTGTGTTTTTGACGGAGGACGAAGGGGCGACCTGGTACTGTTGTGGTGGCATCATCAGGTCTGAAATTGACAAGGCAACGGCGGAGAAGGGCAAGGTCGATGAGCGAGAATTGAGGAAGTTCTTCCTCACTTCGGTGTACGATGAGCAGGGTACCGACTGGGTTAAGACTGACCACAAGGTCAGCCTCGACCTCGCTCTGTTCAAGGGGTATGGTCAGAAGGCATTCGCTATGAAAGCCTTCGCCGGCAATCGAGAGGGGAATGCCTTGAAGATGCTCTTACCCATTGAATTCCTCAGCAAGACCAACGGGTATAGGAAAAGTGGTCAATTCCCGACGGTCGTCGCTGGTCACCAACTCTCGTTACCTCTCGTCCCGTTCAATGCTCCTGTCGAGTCTCGCAGGCTTATCAACGTGCTCTAGTGATCGGCGGCAGGTCGTGTCGACACCGCAACAACCTGCCGGCGGGAAGCAGAAAGTCATTACTTACTAGAGGCGTTCGGGCGGTGATCCATCGGGAAACCTTCCGAAGAAGAAGGGGCTCGCCAGACCTACTTCGGATCTTCCTGGAAGCTCGCGTTCTGGTGCCATCTCGCGCTCGCGGGACACCGCTCAACGTGGAACGGACGAGGAGTCGGACGAAGAAATGGAAGAAGATGAACGGGTTCGCCAATTGCAATCGCGGTTGTTAGCGACACCTCAACACATCCAGTGGGAAGGCTCTTGCGATGCGAATGTGGGGCGGGAAGCTGGTGGAGGTGGCAAAGCCCAGGTGAGGGACGATGGGGAATACGGATGAAGGGGAGTGTGGTACTGGAGAGCGCCGAGAACAGGTTGGAGGAGGGACAGACCATATGGAGTGGGAAAAGGTTGCGGCGGGCGGTGGGGTGGGCGCTGGTGCTGTGCGTGGTTCGGAAATGGGAGACGAGAAATTGGAAGAAGAAAGAGAAGACGTGGATGCTTCCGCGGGGCTTGCTTCCAAGGGGAGGGGAAAACGCACTGCACAATCGTCACCGAAGCCTGCTGCGCCTAAGAAACAGCCTCGAAGAAAAGTTGTGGACGAAACTCGGGTCGCCTTGGATGCATCTCAAGGGACGCTTGGTGACGTCGATGTGAAATGCAAATCAAGTGCTCGGATTCGTAAAACGTCACAACCCAAGAAACCCGTGCGACCATCAAGGCGTCAGAAATCGGACGACTCCTGCGACGATGCTGAAGGCGGGGCCCCTCGCTTGCTCTCCCTCCCTTACGACGACGAGCAGGATACGAAGAAACCCAGTGCGGTCAACATGACGCAGTGCTTCTTCCTCGAGTACGACGACGACGGCAAAACGAGAAGAGATCCGCCTAGGGTGGTGATTGACGTCGTGCAGATCCTTCCAATTCCGGCGGGAGATATAACCTTCAACCAGCGATTGCTGAACTTGGCCATCGTTGCAGGCATCGATGCGACAATCGAGGCATCAACTCATCCAAGGTTTGCGGATGATCCGGCCCTGTGGGATCCACCGGAGTTGGTGCTGGCTCCGATTATGCCATCGCTTGAGCATCCGGACAGCCAAGGGACACGAGTCCTTCCGCATGACTTCGATCCCGATAGGGCAAACGAGTATTTTTATTACCCGGTTGTCGGTCAGCATACTTCCGAAGCTATGAAATGAGCAGTGGCGAGGAAATCTGAAGCCGTTGAGGTGTTCCGTTTTCGGAATTATGATCGTGTACGGATCATTTATTTCGACGACGACCACACGAACGGGTACGTGTATGTTTCGACATACTACAACACGAGAGTTGACCGTGCTATGTTGTCGTCGTTCCACCAAGCCTGCTAGGACATCAGAGGATTTTCGGACTTAAAGAAATGGATCGGGCCAGTGGGGAACGTGTCCAAAAGGGATTCCACCGGTGTGGCGCACCAGGAAGAGTGGAGGAAATTTTTGAGACTTTGCATGGGGAAGTCATGTGAAAAATCGCTGTGGACGGAGTCTTTGTCTCCGAAGTGGCAAACAGACTGGACGAACAGAATGAGGGGATACATGAATGTCCTCACATGCAAGGACAGGATATGGTCATTGGTAAAGGAGTTTTTTCATAAGTTCGAAGCGGGGGACGACAACAAATGCCCGAAGGACTTGCCGGGGAAGCAGGAGGGGCGGTTGCCGGGCCAATTCACTGAAGACGTGCAGGGGAATAAGGAGGTGTTCCATTGCGTAGCGGCTGCCGACGGGGGACCGAACGCTACGGTGTCCTTCAAAGATCTAGTTCCGTCAAACTTCAAATGTTTTTGAGATATGACAGCACGAGAGAAAGAAATTGCATTGCGGTAGATGATAGATAAGAAAGTCATCGCCACTACTAGACTATGAAAATGACCAACCTCCTCGACATCATAATGCGCGAGAGGTACATGACCAACCTCCTCGACATCATAATGCGCGAGAGGTACATGATGCGTTTGTTCAACTACATCGTCTTCAAATCGAAGAACAGAGAGGCGAAAGAATGGAAGGATGGGAACTTCTTCGACTATGAAAATGTGGAGGAGAGGTTTGGCGTTAAGGCAAGCGAATGGGATGAGGAAAGGGATAGGATCCCTTTGGAATACGTCCGAAGGGTTCCGAAAAGACGCGGCTGAGAGCAAGAGGAAAAAAACCTGAAAGGAGTTGGTCTAAAGGCCACGGAGACGTTGTACAGGGACGCGCCATTCCACTTCAAGTACTTCGTGTACCACGCCATAGGGAAAGTGGATTTGCTGACAGCTGAGTTGCGACGGTTGAAGAACGCTGCGCTTCATCTATGTAGGGAGAAGAAAGGGTGACGGTCGACATTGTTGTCGGTCAACATGCACCCAAAGGAGTTGCTGCCCACGGCCGACGAAATTGTGACTGCAGCCACGAACTTGAATTGCAAGGCCGCTATCCTCGATCTCGCAAACCCGAAGGACTGCCTTGCATGGTCGCCGGCCGATTTCGATGCTCTGCACAAAATGATGTCGACATTATGCGGCAGTAATTGGATTCTGATTTTTTTTGCCCCGCAAAAACAACAGAAGATCGTCATGCGGCAACTGTACAACTGGGACGACGTAGAGGTGATACCTGGGATTTGGAAATGTTATCTCCTTGGGATGGCTGTCAGCAAGTACGGGAACTTGCAAGTCGAGTACAAGGACACGATGGCGGTCATCCTGCATGCCGAGGGCGGCGACCTCAGGAAGGTCACGAGGATCCCTAAGTCGGAGGCGGAGCTAGTGGAGCTTCACGTTGAGGAGGAGAAGTTCAAGAGGTGCACAGCAAAGCACGGCGGCGATGAAGGAAATGAACGAGAGGAGTATAGGCGGTGGGAATGACATCCAACACGGATGCAGAAGCTATGTAGTTCATTTCTGCACGAGGATCAGGGGGTGTTACTTATCGGAAAGCCACATGCTGGACTTGTGTGGGAGCTTCTGTCCGCGGGCTAGTATGTTTTTGCATGCGACGGGTTGTCCAAAGACATCTCGTACTTGACGAAGGCAATCGACATTCTTGGGAAGGACGCAAGAAAAGATTGCGCGGTTGAGAGGCAGAAGACGGCGCATCGCCCGGACAGAGATATGTACCACAAGCTGGGCAAGAAGAGAAACAAGATGTGGGACTATCTGTTCCAAGAACAACCCAAATCGCCATTTGAGAATGACTACATAGTTCGCAAAGCGATGGCATAGGAAGCATATGGTGGCTACCATAAAGCGTAGGTGGGTGCGTTTGCAATGTTCGTGGCGAGATGTGAACAAATGAGGTTCGCAGCCAATCAGGCTATGTTGTCGTACGATGAGTACAACAAAATCGTCAAAACAACCGATGCATGGAATCCGATTGAGAGCGACGAGGAGGCCGAAACATCGGACCTTGAAATCGAAGAGCGAGTGAAATTTTTGCAAGAGGGAATGCAGAGTGTGCCAACATGCAGCGTGCCAAACGAGAATCGAGAAGAAGGTCGTACGAAATCGGGAGGTGCGAGCAGTCCAACGCGTGACGTGACCGACAAGGCGAGTTCCATTGAACAAATGCAAACGGATTCGCCTACGCCCCTCAAAGCACTTGAGAATGCATTGATTCATGGCAATCGTCACGGGCTCCAGGGGAGGCATCGTACTCTTCGAGGAAACACGGAACACAACATGATGGGAGACGACGATGAGGATGACTTGGCGGTTCCAGATGCCCTTCCAAGGCTGATGCCTGGTGATGATATTCCCAATCGCATTGTGCAAGCCAGTGAACAGCCGTACTTCATTGAAGACAAGGTGCCAGAAACGACGTCTGAGAAGTAGGGACACCACATTTTGTGGCACAAAGACGTATTCGAGCCATGCACTTTCAAGGGGGAGTGGAAGATGGCACAACATCTTACATCAGGATGGAAAGTCAAAGCCAGACTGGCAGAAGTACCGTGGATGAAAGTGACGAAGAGCGAAATCGTATTCCATGTCAAGTGCGAAAACGATGGAGCGGACGAGGCGGCTATTGAGGAGAAGGCTCAATTGCTATTCGATTCTCTGCACGCCAGCAATCAACTCGAATACAAACACAAGTTCTATGATTTGTCGTCAAGCCAGTCATACAAGACCATCGTTTGGAAGATCGAACTTCCTGCATGTCAAGGCATCGAGACAATCCAGTTGGGATGCACACAGCTTGGGGGCCAGTCGACGACGCACTTTACTGCCAGTGTCGGGGAAGCGATGAGTCAAAGTAATGTCAAGATAATGGGGGTGGATAAGGGAACACGGAATGTCGATAAAGATCCTTCGAACGTTGCATCGTACGGGCCTCCTCTATTAACTCAGGTGGAAAACCAGAGTGCATCGCAGAGAGCCCCACTCCTTCCACAAGCGTGGCAGTTTTAGATCGAATGCAACAAGGTGGGTATGCAGAACATGCGAGTGAGGTGCAAAAAGATTCCGATGAGATGATGAAACTGTTGGATGAGGCGGAGAAGGATGGGAAGAGGAAGCTTGAGGGATCAACCACGTCCCAGAACGTGATTAATTGTATATCGTTAAGCGATGAAGGGATAGACGTACATGTAGAGAGGCATTATGACAATGAGGATGCAAGGGATAATGTCGATGAACAGAAGGAAGTGGATGACGGAGGTCCACCTGCGAGACGGTCGGAAAGAGAAATAAAGAAAAAACACCCGGTTAATGTGTAAATATATGCAGAGGCTGAGTTCTAGTTGGCGTAACACTCTGTGTATGTGTGTTAGTGCTTGTACGCAACTCGGATAAATATTTTAGGCGATAGACGCGTGATATAATAATTGATTCGCCGTGTGGTATATAAATTGATTCCGCAGTGAATTGGAGAGGACCCCTCTCTCTCTCTCTCTCTCTCTCTCTCTCTCTCTCTCTCTCTCTCTCTCTCTCTCTCTCTCTCTCTCTCTCCGTCTCCTTTTTCCTATCTATCTATCTATCTCTATCTGTATGTCTCGATCGACTGATCGATCGATGAATCTAAAAAAAGTGTGATTAATAGCGATGAATGTCAGAAATATACATGCAGTATGTCATAAAACACTGGTAATGCGGTTGATGAATGTAATGAAGACATGTCATTGGTAATGGAGTTTTTTCAAAACTCACTCGTTTAAGATAACTCTGATTTTATGCAGTTGATGAATATGAAAGAAGTACATGAAAAAAAAAAACAATGGAGCGTAATGGTTTCAACTAAGTAAATTACTAGTTATAATAAGCACCTCACTCTTTTAAGGTAACCTATACTACACATTACTAATGGAATGCAATAAACATGACTACAAATGGACGTATTGAAACATTAGCTCACATAAAGATATGGCGCGTTGTCATGTGCAGCGCAAACGACAATGGAGGATAACCGAAGGTGCAAAAAAGGATGGACCGTCCACTTGGCAACAACGAATTTGACGGAGAGAGAGATGTCGGCCCTCACGCGTTTGCGAGTGAAACTTGGGGATAGCGACGTCATAACAAGTTCATTCAACGAAGACACAAAAGAAGAATTAACGATGACAGTCGGAGATTTTAGCTCGCTAATGATAAAAAAAAAGTGGTTGAACGACCAGATAGTGAATTTTTATCTTAACCTTGTCCGACTGGACAATGTGTGTCGTGTGAAGCACCATAATTGCGATTAGAAGAACGAAAACGTCGTTAGAATAGGAAAGGGGCGCATTCCCACAACAGCAGTTTTAAGCTCGTTGTTTTTCGCAAAACTATGTGATAGCGATATGAAGTTCGATTACGATCGTGTTCGTAGATGGTTCACGGAGGTCGTGATTAGCGACATTGATTTGATCATTGCACCTTATCACGTCGCGCAAAATCAACATTGGACACTCGTAGTGGCAGACCTCAGGCGTATGAAAATTGAGTACTACGATTCGCTGACGCCGGATGTAGAACTCGCGGCGAAGGTGACAGGAGGGGTCACAAATATCTGTACATGAGGTCGGTCGAACAAGGTCAAGAAATTGACACAAAAAACTTCAACCACATATGGGAAGTGGAAGGCATTCCAAAGCAGCGCGACTTCGACGACTGCGGTGTGTTTATGCTGGCATCTGCATCACTATTGGCGAGAGAGTTTCTTCCACCTTTCACGTCCACATAAGATGACACAAAGAAAATACTTTCGGCGTAGCTATTGTGAAGTAGACGTTCACATAAGATGACACAAAGAAAATACTGTCGGATAACTTTCGACGTAGCTGTTGTGGAGTAGACGATTTTGTTTAATTTTCAGTATAGATGTTCAAACACATGAAATGAACACGTACTGATCAAGAATTAGATCTGATAAAGATGGGGAAGAGTTTGTAAGTGTAACGAGGATTAATTATGCGGTTCACGATGAATGTAACTGGTCATGCAATAAGGACATCTTATGAAATAACAGAAAAATTCCCACGAGAAATGAAAGTTAAAAAAATATTCAATAAAAAAAAAAATCCTTTATATTTATAAATTAACATTCCAATGTTCGTCCAATTCTAAAATTTCCAGCTTTATTTTATAAGTTTCCGTCTAAATATGAGTTTTCCCTTCCAACTACATGTATTTGTTTAAGATGGAATGAAAGTCTGAACAAGTTTATGAAATGTTTTAATTAAATTTTGATTCTACTACAACAAATATGTTATAATTTAAATTGGCTTAACCTATTTATGACTGAAAATCCTTACCTAGAATGACAGTCCAATTAAAATATTTCATGAACTCATCCAGACTTTCATTTCATCTCTAGCATGCATTCCAAACAAGAAGGGATACCCTATTCTTGGAATGAAAGTTTCCAAGTAAGATGAAAAATTTTAAAATTGGAATTACATTTTTTAAAATGGAATAAAAATTTGAAATTTAGATTGTAATTTTACTATAGAATGATTATTTAATTCTAGGAAATTTTTTCGTTGAAGGTCATCTTATCTCTTATATTCAAGGCTCCTCTAGTCCTTACCTCTCACCCCTCACCCCTTACCCCTTGCCCTTTACCCCTCACCCCCCCTGCCCTTACCCCCCTTACCCCTTACCCCTTACCCCTTACCCCCTTACCCCTTACCCCTTACCCCTTACCCCCTCCCTTAACCCTTACCCCCTACCCCTCACCCCCATTTCGTATCACAAATATTTCACAAATAAGGAAAAATAAGGCAAAATATAAGAGTTTCAATTTCGTTCAAAAAATAAAAAATGTCCGTTTTGATGAAATCGTAGTTGAACGACGCTAGCCGGAGTTGGGGCGTTGCCCTGTAGCCTGCAATTGGCAGGAGTGTGAGGCCTTGTAGAGAGATCTGGGGATTGGCTGAGGGAGGAAGGCAATCCAGTTGCAAACCGGGGGGGCTGCCTTGACAACCTATGAGGCCAAGGATAGTCTAGGTGGCGAGAACAGGTCAACTATGGTTGATATTGGTTAGGAGGGCATTATCTCTGAGATGCAATGTCTTGGTATAGGGAGGGCTAAGAGGTGTGCTGGGATTAGGGGGCCAGAAGTACGGATATAGTATAGTTTTCGATATTTAAAAAATATTAATCATCACAATCATCACCATCATAATCAGCATCATCATCATCATTATCATCTTTTGTACCATCATCTCAATCATGCGATATTTAGCCTTCTGATGTTCTGGAATTTTAGGCAACATCTAGTCTCCTTCCACATACGAGATATAGGACTTTGAAAATGGTCGAACCAGGATTGATATCTGCGTAGTTGCTCTGTTCTGTGCCCCAGGTTTGCCAATGCCAGAACGGCGCTGGCCGGAGCTGGGGTGTTGCCCTGTAACCTGCAAATGGCAGGAGCATGAGGCCTTGTAGAGAGATCTGGGTTTTGCCGAGGGAGGAAGGCAATCCAGTGGCGAACTGGGGGGGCTGCTAGGTGGCGAGAAGAGATCAGCTATGGGTGACGTTGGTTAGGTAGGTATTGTCTCTGAGTTACAATTTCCTGGTACAGGGGGGCTAGGAGGTGTTCTAGGATTAGGAGGCCAGAGGTGCTGATATATAATGTTTTTATATACTAATCATCATCATCAGTAGCATCATGATTATCATTATCACAAAAAAAAAAAAAAAAAAAAAAAAAAAGATGAGCTAGTCCACTGGAAAGTAATGCAGCGACTATTCACGTGGGGGAAAATCCCTCACATGTTGCTCCTCGGAAGAGCCCCGATGGTCAACGTCGCACTCTTTGCCCTCCTTTGGTATGTGGGGAGGATCACACCACTAGGAACGAAGGCCCAGGCGGTAGCGAGGAGAAGATCAGCACACTTCGTTTGGAAGCCCTTTGGAATAGAAACCGATGGGTTTCTCTCCGAAGTGGCCTGGGATACAATCTGTTACAAACGAGAAGAGGGAGGATTGGGCTTGAGGGATCTAGGCAACCAGAACGCTGCTATGCTAGCCCAATTATGGGTAATACTGGCCATGCAGACTACCCCAGACGGAACACTAGATAAGCCTTGCAGAAGCTACACTGATGAGGAGTTGGCACTTAAAGCGGTCAAAGGATGTCTGGCTGTCTTTGGATAGACCCATATCTGCAAAAGACCGATCCTAAACGACCATTTCGTCAAAATCAACATTTTTTTTTTTTGAACGAAATTGAAACCGAGTTTTTTGGCTGAAAACTTGTCAAAATTTGTTGTTCCTGAGGGTCCAGCGTTTTACCCCCTGGCTGTACATGGACCTAGCTTGAGACCAGGTACCTCCAGGCAGAGCTAGGTCCATGTATAGCCAGGGGGAACAGCAAATTTTGACGAGTTTTCGGCCAAAAAACTCGGTTTCAATTTCATTCAAAAAATAAAAAATGTCCATTTTGACGAAATGGCAGTTCCTATCAGAGCGATGGACAGGATTCCTGAAGGCTTGGCGGAAGGTGAAACCGGACCGTTGGGGCTGGAGGCTAAGTCTCCACTTTCTGCCTTTACTCCGCCCTTTTTTGTCCC